GCATTAATTTCCCGGTGTTTATCTCTGCCGCCATCTTAGTTTCTCCCTGGATAGCAGTTTTCACCTGAAGAGAAAATGGCTGGTCTCTTGTTATTTTTACTGACCCTCTACCAGTTTTAGAAACATCTCACCAAATCATTTTCTGTACATCTTACATGCATGTAATTTTCTTTGTTCTTAAAAAGATTTAAACATCAGTAGTCTATAGGTAATAATTCTGCTTTATAGTGAATCTTTTATCCAAGCTATCAATTGAAGGTTAGCAATTTGTCTTTGGGCCAATTTAAACGATCTCAGGTGAAAGAGCAGTTTTTAAAAATGTTCTGAAGAAAGTTTGGTCACTGGCAAATCTTTATGGAGCCAGCTTAGCCTCCTTAGGTTATGTGTCTAAGGGCCAGGCACAGCTGCTTCTGAGCCCTTTACGCAGTAGTAGTGGTGGTGATGGAAACCACTGATTTCTGGACTGGGGTCAGAGTTCTTGGAAAATAGAGAATTGGAATCTCTGTCCCCATCCAAATGTACCCTTGAACATCAACACTAACTACATTGCTAGTTTATTTATGTTAGTGGGTGCCATTTCTCAAAAGGAGGAAGCCAAGATGGGGAATATCCTTGTGTTACAACTGATTTTTAAAATTTTTTATTGTTGTTAGATTTCAGTGGCAGCTGAGATTTGAAAGCTGAATAATGGTCCTAAAGATAGAAAATGTCTTTTTCATGGCATCAAATGCTATTCTTGAATGAGAAACTGAGAATTTAGAGATTTATTTAGCCATTAGGACTTTATATAAAGTATGACTATGGTTAGATTCTGTCATTGTCATTTAAATCACATTTTCAGAGTGCACATTTATGGTTCTGATAAAATATTTAGAAAATAGTAACAGGGGAACCATTACATTACTTAGTTGTTACCTAATGAGATTATATATTTTTATGTGAAACATTAATTAAAAGGAAAGAGAAAACTGCATTTTGGGACTCCCATTGGATGGAGAAACAGAAATATGACATCCTAGTTGTTGAAAAGAAATGACGAATGCTTCTTGCTCACAAAATAAAGAATATCTTCAAGCTTTTATTCAATTTCCTTTTGGCATTTTCTCATTTCTAACTAAAACCAGAATTGCACATTGAATTTTCAAGCCAGAAATGCTAACTTGGCAAATTATTTTATGGATATTATTTTTGGATTGGAATTCTTTTTGAATAAATACACTGAAAAATATCTTGGATAAACCCGGCGTATCTATTCAGTTGATGAATGGGCTCTAATCTACTGCTGACCCACAAATATTCACAGTGAATATTCACGTTATTTTTATTTTTCACTCCTTCTGCAAACCGTTAACTCATCAAAATTTTTTCTCCATGCTCCTTAAGAAATAATATCTTTTAAATGAAATATAAACTTCTGTTTTTCAACAATCAATTCAACAAATATTAATGAAGTGCTCACTGTGTGCAAGGAATTATAGGACATTTAAAGGCAAATATAGAACTCTTTGCAAGTGCTGGCTCTTTCACTTACTAGTTCTGAGGCCTGGGAATTAATTAGAAATACTCCTATCTCCAGTTTCCTCATCTGTAAAATAGTAATAATAATAATACAATTCTTTAGTGTTCTTTTAAAGGGTAGAAGAGTTAATACAGTCAGTGGTCAGCAGACTGCAGCCCCTTTAGTGTGGCTCTTCTACAAAATACCACGTGTGGGCGCGCACGTACAGTGCGATTGAAACTTTTGTGTTAATATATGTAAAATGCTTAGCAGTGTCTGACACAGAATTCAACCAATGATATTATTAGAATAACTAGAGGCCCGGTGCATGAATTCATGCACAGGTTGGGTCCAGCCGGCCCTGCCCCCAACTGGGGGGGCGGGCAATAGGAGGCGGGGCTGGCCAGGGGGCAGAGCCACGGTGGTTGGCCAGCTCCGGCCCTGATCAGGGTGAGGGGGGCCAACTGAGGGTGGGGTTGGCAGTGGGTAGGGGCCATGGGCATTTGCTTGACTGCCCCCTCCCCCTGGTCAAACTCCTGGTTGAACTCCCGATTGAGGGGAAAATTTGCATGTTAGCCTTTTATTATATAGGTAAGAAGTGACTTAAGGAATTTATTTTTTATGAGAGGCACAGATTATACAGAAAATAGGTATAAAACAACATAGGCTAGCACAATCAAAGGCTATAAGCAAAGTATTATGGTGGTTCAGAGGAGAGAGAAAGGACATCTACAAGGAGCACGAAGAAAGTCTCTTTCTGTGAGTGAGTGGCAGGAGGAGGAAGAGGAGCTTGTGAATGAGTCAGGAGGGGGTTGAGGCCCAGAAGAAGGCTGCCATTGTACAGCAGAAGGTTGAGAACTGGTTGCCTGCAGGGCTCACAGATGGGTTTCCTTTAGCCCATATAGGGTTTGCAATCAACATTTAAAAATTGGGTGACCTCATATAAAAATCCAAATTTCTAGTTTCTGTGGAAAAATTAGAAAATCTGGCAACATTAGGCCCGAATCTTTGCTTGGCCCACTACAGGACTGAACCGAGTAGCAACTGCTGCTTTATAAGGAGCACAAATTCTCTAGTTTGCTCCAGTGTCCACTACTCATATTGTATTGTAGGCCCTGAGGCCTACTGCCTGTATTTATGTTACTTTCCAACCCCTGCACAGGCCATCAACACATCTTTGAATGCTGGCTTATTTCATAGGAGATGCTGTGATGGTTGATGTTAAGTATTCAGATTAGTATGTGGCTTCATCTCTGGCCTTAAGGCAGCTTGCAGGTTACTGGAGGATAGGCTATAATCACAGAACAAGTTGTGGAGTGATCATATAATGAACCAAAAAGCAGCACAATATGGGAACTGAGAAAGTGTATGTTTGGTGAAGGTGTGATATTTAAAAGATTCTTTCTGAAATTTTAAAAATTGTGTTCCAAAAAATAGTTTCCCAAACAAGTTGAAACATGCAGACTTTCTGACTGACCTAACTATGGCAACCTTAAAGTGCCAAGTTGGTCAGCCTCGGATGATAAAGCACCTGAGTCATGATAGTTTGAGAGGCTCCAGAAATGTGACTCAGATATCAAGAAAGTGTTGGTTGTTGTGAAAAGGGCAGAGAGGAAACCTTTTCCTTATGAGCTTGCTGGTTACAATGTTCTCAGATAGATGTGCTGGTCTGGCTCTTAACTTCATGGTAATATTTTAAAAGCAGCACTTGGCTTTTCCATATCTGATTTCCTTAGTGTAAAACAAAGCATGTGGTCACATTCAGGAGAACCAATGGCATATTACTGCTATTGCTGTGATGTAAATAATATCATGTGGCTGCAGGTTTTACATCTGCTTTTTATTTTCATTTCATCTTAGCAAAAGAGAACTAATTGAAGCAACTTTTGAAAGATCTGTGGCTTAACTGTGCACAATTTTCTGTATTCATCTAACTCTGCAACAAATCAGTTCTTTCCACGTATAGTAAATCCCACCATAAAATTGAGTAAGGTTTCATAATTTAGTACTGTATTTCTTATTTGTAGCTGTATGAGAGTCTAGATTTTTCTAGGAATATCTAAGATAGGAGTAATGTAAGCATTCAATTTCTTACGTCCTTAGCAACTGGATTCAATAATAGATTTGTTCAGGTTGGCTTTTTTAAAGAAGTGTAATTTATCTTTCATGCAATCAGTCTTACTAAATCTAGAATTCCAGTTTACGGTAAGCTTTTCTTTTTCTGGTTGGGAGAGGGTCTTCAGAAATGGCTCTCATTGACAAGAAGTATTTCTTTGTTTTTAAACCAAGTAATGTAATTGAATATAAAGGTCCTGCTTAACTTGATTTATTTTCTTGTTCTTAAAATATTGATTCAGTTGTACACAATTTGGTAAGACCAATA